TGTGTGTGTGTGTGTGTGTGTGTTTTTTCATAGGGTGAGTCCCACATGCACCCCCCACCATACAGATACACACAGACACCCCTCACACTGCAATACATGCAGACCTCCACACCCACACCCCCTCATACACCCCAGCTACCCTTCCCCCACATACAAACCTCCACAAACCCCATACCCACCCACACCCCACATATCCATACACACCCCCACATGCTCCCTCACCCCACACCCCCACATATATCCACCCTGTACGGACACAGCCATACCCTTCTCCACAGCCCACACACCCACAGTCCCCCACAAACCTATACCCCCCCACACAATATACAAGAGTAAGACTTGATTTTAAGCTATTATATACAATCACCCCTATGTACACTACACAAACACATGTAAACTAGGACAAAAATATTTTTTGAAATCAGATTAATGAATGTTTTAGGTGTTCATTTTTTAGAATATAATTTGGTATTTTTCTGGTTTCAAGATGGCAAACCCCCTTGCTGAAAGGAGTACTTCTGGAGGCAAGGGGAAGGACTTCTGGTAACAAAGGTCAGTAGTTAGGGGGGTGGGACTTCCAGTCACAAAATGGTGACCAGGGGATGGGGCACCTGTCAAGTGCTACCCATGTGGCCCTCAACAGCTTCCCAAACCTCAGTAAGTGGCCCTCCACCCAAAATAATTGCCCACCCCTAGTTTAGGGTATGCTTCCGAATAGTCACTGGGGAGGACGCCAGTGTCTTGGCCATACATCTCTGAGTTTGAAGATGGGAGTGAAGACAGATGTCTAGGCTGTGCCTAAGAAACACTGTAGCTATAGCAGTGTAGACATGTCTATAGTGACCAATGGCTTTCTGAAAACCAATATACATATTTGTAATGGGGTAGTACATAAGAGAAAATAATTTGAAAAAAAGAAATATCCAACAGGCCTATTTCATCTCAACCCATTTCATGGCTTATTAGAAGCTAAGCAAGATGGACCACTATCTTGAGTTACACAAAGAAAGCAGAGCAATTTATTTTTTTCAGGCAGATCTAGATAGCCTTTCAGAAACTGTCTCTCTCCAAACTGGTTTTCCCCTTCCATACCCATGTCCCTCCACAACTGCATATTACATTTCACCCTGGTCGCTAACAGTGAGAGAAAGATGAAATTCTTGTGTCATGAGGCTTACTTTCCCTTTGGAAATAATTGTTATAATTTTTATAACCGTGGATAGTTTTCAAATCCTTGTAACTGTTGTATTCTTTTAAAAATCTTAAGCTTGTGGCTACTCCGATTTCCTGTGGAAATAAATTCTGTCTTCTAGAGGTTCATGGGGAATAATTTTCAGTGTTATCAACCAGTAAGGGCAGGATACAGGGAATTACAAACAATCATGGAAGACTATGCATTAATGAATTTTGCATGATATCCCAATCCCAATATTTAATTTTCTCAAGAATTGTCACAAACTAAACATTTTTCATAGGAAACTAAATGAAAAATCTAAACAAGGTAAAATATTGCACCTCAAGAAACCAAACGGTTAATTTTATGAAAGACATACATTTTAATTTTGCAGATATTGCAGAAATGTTGCAGCAGATACAAAACAGTGTACAAGCCATTTTTACTATGATAAGTATACTTTGATTTTTCTGATGTGTCCATAGCCATACTTTAACAATGACATTTCTAATTTGAGACCATTTGTTACCTCATGGTCATCTGAACTATCTCCTTTATATCTCACTAACTAAAGTGATTTATTAAAATCTGAGACAATTATTTCAGTGGCTTTACTATATCCTGATCATTTTTAATTATATTACACCTTATATTTATGAATAAAGCAAACCATATTCACCAGATTTAGGGTACCCTGCTAGGATGACATCATCACTTCTTGCTTCAAATGCCTCCAAAGCTTTGAATTGCTCAGGACTACAAACAGTAGCTGGGTAGAATATCCCCTTGTAGGAAAATAGCAGACCTTCACTCTTCATTGTGTCACCAGTGGCAATTGCCTTATCTACCAGATCAATAAATACTTTCCTGTTTCTTGCCATCCTTCTCTTTCTCTCACACTCTCTCCTCTTGTGCTGGACGTGAAGTTCTGTTTAAGCAGAGTCCCAACTTAACTTTTAATAGAGAATTTTGTTTCTTTTGAACCAAATGTGCAAAACCTGACTCCACCTTCTTCATCTGTAGCGATGTAGGTCCAGACAAAGAGTATGAACTAGCAACCACTGGAGGTGCTTAAGGTTATACCACTGACAAGGAAAGCCAAGGGAAGAAAGTCTAAAGAAGAACACAAAGAAATTAAATATTTGCTTAAGTTAAAATGGTTATATAACTTTAAAATACCACGTGTAAAAATTTGCGGAAGAATTAGTGCATAGAGTACATGGACATAATCCATTGATAAACAAAAAAATAACTCCGATGCCAGGTTTTACTTTGGTTGGTCAAACACAGGATGCTTTTCTGATAGGAGCTTCACCATTTTGTTTATATGCTACAATGGGATTATTATTATTATACAACCTTATCATTCTTTGAGAACTGAGATGTGAAGTGCTGAGATCTGGAAAGGAAGCTGTCACTGTGCTGGGCCCCTGGCTGCAGAACTCTCCTAGTACGGTAGCTCACCAGAGGCCAGATTACACTTATACGCCTAATAGTTGTAATAGAATCTTGGCTCCAAGTCCTCTATTTATCATTCTGCAAGACACAATGCCTCAGTTATCCTTTTAGGCTAGCCCATTGTTAAGTTTGGATGGAGGCTAAGGAGTTTTTACCATCTGGTGGTCATGTGAGGGCAGCTTACATAAGATACAGTTTTTTGTTTAAGGAGGGCATCATGAGTTATTAATAGTTTTCAGGTTTGTATTCATACAACCTGATTAGTCTGAGTGTCAGTTTAGGGCCCTGCCACACGTTCAAATTAAAGCTGGGTAGAAACCAGCTAAAAGGTTATTACAGATTTTCAAGCACTAATTTTGTAGCTGACTGGCTCTTTTTATAGCTGGATGAACATTTTCATGGTGTGATAATTACCTTGCATGTATAGCTGGTTTAAATTTATTGTACAGTTAACCAGTTAGTTGTATAATATATGTAACATGTGGCAGGGGCCTTACAGACTATGCAAAGGGTAAAATCCTGAAACCACTTAAGCCCATGCAAAAGTTTCTAGGAACTCTCAAAAAGGATGAGAAGAGAAGCACTGAAAAAAACAAGGGATACCATAGAATATGATAGTCCTTGGAACTAATACTATAGCACAATTGGCTGTCACCTTTTCTCTAACCCAAGGGTGCTTGACCCGAGATTGCAGGCCAGATCCAGGCCACGGAACTGTGCCACTTGGCCTGCAGGGCTCCACAGAGGTCTGGAAATTTGGAGGCAGGGGAGGAGCAGCCATGGCCAGCCCATCCTATCTTGCAAAACCTGCAGCCACAGGGGGCCCTGCAGCCAAAAGGCCCCCTGCATCCAGCCACTCACCACACCCCCCATACC